TTACTGGGATTTTTAAAATTCTCAGTACTAGCACGGAGTCTATGGCAATGGGCTCACCCCCTATTACATGCGACTCATAACATAAATAGTAAAAAGTGGGTAATACATATTCGAGGATAAAAGGTGTGTTGTTATGTTTAAATTAGCTTAGGCAGAAGAACACTCGACCATAGAAAAGAAAGAAGGTCTATAAAAGTATACAGTCCTACCTAATTACAATTTATTAGATCAACAAATAGCTGTGTAATTTATTAGCAAAGTTTAATAGCTTAAGAACTCATCCGATATTGGCAGCCGAATACACAAAATTAATTAAAAAGGAGGTTGTATTACAATGATACTCTATTAAAATTAAGTACTTAGACCCAGATATTAAGATAAAGGTAAGTAATTAAAATGAAATCAGGTTTATTGCCGGGGCATCGTGATTTCGTGACACTTAGCAAAGTTTTTAATAACCCACAAGCGATTAACCTTTAAATGCTAAAGTATCCCTTCGAAATGCCACGAGCATTAACATGTCACTGATAAAATATTTCTGATACATATTCGGTATGAAGCTATAAAGATCTTATTCTGTTGAAGATTAAACAGACAATGTTGATAAACTTTATTAATAGTTTGATTTCATTAAATTTACCATAAACAAATGTATCCTTAACTAGGTGGTCTACCGATACGTAGGTCTTTGTGATCTTGTGACTAACTTTTTTGTTAAATTCATTGACGTGACTGGACGAAATGGAATTTCTTTTTGTCAATAAACGATATCCATGCCAAATAATACATAGAAATATCGTATCCTTGAAACAATCGCATAATGACAAGCGGTAAGTATGGCTGACGTATCCGACCTCCATAACACCATACTTAGGCACGGAGATTATGGTGCAATAATCACATCGTGTTCCGAAAGTCATCACCAAGCCTCCATCAACAAGTGTTTTAATGTCAGTAATCTCCTGAACCACTCTCGTGCAGTCTATCAACAAATAGCGCTTCCGTTCATACAAACATAGGAAAAAACTTTTCCTGTACCAAGCAACTTGGTCACGACTTGAATTACCGTAATTACATTTTGTTCTGTAATACAATAATATCGTAAACCTTAACTATGAGATACAATCTTGTGTTTTGGCTTTGTTTGTGTCTTCTTCATCACAATCTTTGATCAACATGTATTGTTTAACGTTGTTCGAGGAGCGGGACGTAATAGCAGGATCAATATTTTGGTAAGTAAAACAAGTGAATAAATTCGGACTGTTTTTGTATGATTGTTTTCTTTTTTTAGTATCTACCGCAATGGAGATGTTTTGTGCATATTTTTCCTGTTTTGTTCAATAGATCGAAGAAAAGGAATAAAAGCAGCATCTTTACTTGATTATTTTTTCCAAACATTCCTTGAATACTCGCGATGCTCATTACTAATTACGCCACACGTTAAATTATGCGCAGTATTTCTCGTAGCATCTATGATTATTAATGGACATAGTATTTCACCTTGCATGCTTGGTGATTGCTTTATAACATAAGAATTAAATTGCGATTTTTATCTTCTTCAAAGACTTTACCATTGTCAATTATATCAGAACATTCTCATCAGACCCTACTTACAGTACGGTCAGACAATCTTGTCATATTTATCTTGACGTCTTCATCAACTGATTGCCTGAACTATTGTGACCGTTACTAGAAGATTGCAATATACTTAATGATTTATACAAAGTAAAATGACAGCAGATACTTATCACGGAGCCTTGACTTTAATAACTCTTCCATAAACCATAAACTTAATTATCTCTCCAGTATTAAGTTATCTTCCAAGTGACTTCTTAAAAATAATTTCACTCTCTTTCTGACACTACGATCTCTTGGTAAGTCGGTAATTACCCAGTAGGCGTGCTTATTCGCGTAATTCTTCGGTTGTATTAGTGTCATGATTAGCGATGCTGGTAGCGTATGAGGGTCATGAGTATTCGTGGAAGTTCTCGGTAAGTTTTGCAACAACCAACACATCCAGCCCACGTCCGTCCGTCAGTGTTTTCTTGATTTTATGATAATAATCTGTTTGTTCGTAAACGTACATGCAAGCTAACGCAAATACACGTTTTACCAGTTGGGTTCATATCACTAAAGCGAGACTTGCAGAGACCAACATCGAAAAGTCCCAATGGTCGATACTAAAACATGAATTTACACTCCAGTTGCATGGTGCAACACCATCCATTTCCATACAAAATTGATGCAAGCCACTGGCAGGAAATGGTGACTACGATACCAGACACTATCTCGTCGTGAGGTGCATTCGTCAGACTTCGGTCGCATTATTTCATGCGGTACGACATTGTTATACGTATCGGCTAGACAGAACAATAAAGAGCGCCTAGTGAAATAGAAGCAAACAGTTTGTTTATTCAGCTTGAAATGACCACACTATACAAAACATGATTACATACCTGGAAAAAATGATCTTAGACTTTTGTGTGTATAATTAACACGTATTCAAGCAAGTAGGCGGATAGTGTAATGGACAAACACGCTCAGGTGTCTACTTCCCCGAAGCGCTGGGTGGAAGAGTGCGCAGCCCATAAATATTAATGACAAACACCGATTCAATAGCCAGGCGGCAGACAGGTCAGCGGCCTTTGATCCGATTGTTAGATGCTCATTCTCAGATGTAATTAAAAATCCCTCATACATCCAATATGTTTCACATGAAATGTCGTATGAATAAAACATGACCTACAAAGGCCTTCCAAGTTGTGATTGAGAGTTCACACAGAAAAAATTAAATCAAATAAAAGCAGATAATTATTGATCACATTACGATAGGTTCAGTATGTTACAATAAAAAATGTTAACCTAAATACATTCTTAATTGAATTCGCAAGTCGTTGGGTGAGTCTCCAACGAGTTAAACAGCATTTCATTAAGCGATATACTCAGTAGATTATTGAAATATAGGACGCCGATAATAAGTAAAATTGAGTGTATTAGGTCAGTAAAAGAGCATTTTTTTTGCATAGGTAATAAGATATTTTTAATTTAATTGGTGGATGAAGTTTCTTTGGCATCGTTTGGGTACAGGCGATAATTATTTAAATTGAATTTTATAATAGTGTTGACAATTATACAATAAATTAACAACATTATGAGTCCACTACTGAGAAGAAAAATTGTCTTCAGTCGGAAGTGTAGTCACAAGTGGCGGTTACATCCCAATGAGAGCATGATTCATCAAACAAGCATTTGAAGATGATTTGAATTTTAAATTCAAGTTATGTAGAACATCTAACAGAATGAGCTTAATAAGATGGCCTTGTGCGAGTAACAAATACGAGATGCGTTGAATAAAATACGCCCATAACACAGATATAAATTGTGAGATATATTACATTGATAAGTGATGTCAGCATGGCCATAAATCGGTACTAAGTGATCGAATGGGTCAGTGTCCTCTACATTGATTGTAAGCGAACGTTGCAGACAATAAAGCAAATCATATTCTCGTAGATATGACAAACCAATTTCATCACATCACACGGCCTTTAAATAACATACGTCAATCTATTGTATTTGACCTACAATACGAAATCAATGAAATTAAACACCAACACCAGATTTCTACGAAAGTCGAACATATGAAACGCGTGTGGTGTCTAATTTTCTATTTACGTAGGTGTACAATGTACATGAATGAATTAAGTGATACAAAATGACGGACAGTGCACAGAGACTTGCTTGTGGTTAAATTGACAGCTAGTGACCCTTGTTAGGTCGCCGGACGTTTACGTCTCGTTAAATAAATGTGTGTGAACATCATGGACAGCACTGTCGTAATAAACACAAGTGAAACAGCTCTGTGTCCATATACGATTTTTTGGAAACATGAGCATTATTGTCATACAATCAACGTGAATATCTTGAAGAGATCGGGACGGTATTTCTTGGTTTCGAAATTAATTGTTAACATTGTGAATAGCTCTTTACTTTTAAGCTAAGATTTTATCGCTGACAACATCGTTAGATGTGCAAAAAGTCTGATTCAGATATACATAAATGATTAATCATCTTGCAAATTTTCATAAACATTGTGCTAATCCCAGTCATCATGCATGTAAAACATATCTATTTGCTAAAGTAGAAAGCGTGATCGTAGGCGAGCATCCACTTTTTGTACCTATAGCAAAACGTCGAAATTGTATAAGTATAGACATGTATATCCACTTGCAGAACGAGCTCTCTTTCGGAGGTAAAGCTAACGTGTGAAAGGAACGTATTGTCTTGTGTGAAAGTAATCCAGTTGTGAAAAATCACCGTCTTTCTGTTATATAATGTTCCAATGTTACTGGATATTACGAACGTGGTTTAGAAGATAAAACACTTAAAGATAAGCATGCTTAATGATGTCTTAACAAATGTAGTCATGTCGGAACTTGTCCGTGATATGGGTCCCTGTTAAACTTGTTTAAACCTCCACAGGAAGCCCGAACGGGTCTTCATTGTTCAATTTATACCCAATGACGGGCGACGGGTAAAACCAGGTGATTGCAAAATGTTTTTATAAACAAACGCCATCGTTAAGAAATTTAATATGAAAGACGAATAAAATTGATTTAAATTAAGCATTAAAAGATTTACAACAATAAAGGAAGCAAATAAGTATTCCACAAACGAACTGGCTGCTTGTATTCACACGGAAATCCCTGTCGTGTAACTGTATGGACTTGGCAACCCCTCTCCAAAGTAGATGTAGCACTATCTCGCTCTCTCACGACGAATTCACCCTCCGTCATAGGATCGTGGGATAATTAAATATTTATGTCATCACAAACGCTGTGATCAACTAATATCAACTAAGAATTCCAGATCATAATATATTGGTCACAGTGTGGATACTCAGCCATTGGCTACAAAATTCGCATCATTTCAATTTATTTCTTTGGTAAACTAAACCATTTCTATGTTACTCTTAATAGATTAATAATCTAATAACAAACCTTTATATTTATTAAGATCTCAATTCTTCAGAAACATTCCGTAGATAAATGGAAAGCACTGTCACGAACTTAGTTAAATAAACTATGCCGACACTACTGAATCCGTTTACAAACACTATTCTGCTACAGGATAAACAAACTAATTTACAATCACAAATTCACTATTTTCAGATTAATAGATTCCCGCGAATTCTATTTATGATCAAACAATAAACACATAATTAAAAATTTCTATAAAGCTCGGACTCGTGAAGCTTTTTTGAAACGAAATGAACGTACGGTTCCAACTAACGTTCGATACAGACTGCATCACTCAGAACGGAGACGAATGCGGTGGGGGGCGGGCGGGGGGAACGCAGTAGGGGGCGCGCGCGTCGAGCGCTACCTCGCTAGCAGAGCCGTCGAACTAGCCTATGTCACTGTCGCTGATATGATAACGAATGTACACAAAGCATACGATACAACACAATTTACGAACTTGTAAAAGAAAGGGATGGACACACGAAAGCGGAAAATATCAAACGAAACGGAACGCAAACCCAAACTTAGTGACGATAAGAAGCAACCAAAACAGATGTCCATTGACAAAATAAACAATGAATGTAAAATACATGGAGAACAATAAATCTTTTCTAGCGAGGGTTGAGCTACGGATTCGAATTTCAAACATTCCGTCACAATACAAGACGATACTTAAACATGTTTAAGAAATACAAACATAAGTTAGTCGTTATAGAAATTTAGTCCAAAAAAGAATTTTTAGAACAAAACTGACACTAGTAACTGCCCATGAGTTTTGAAGCCATCTGAATCCTTAAATTTGGGAGCTTTCAAACTAAAATAGATAAAAAAACAAACGTTAAGTTTTTATAGCGAGTTAAAAACTTATTTCCCTTGCTCTTGACGTCGTGTTGCATCTAACTCCAAAATAAACACTGACAAGAAAGTGGTTTCATCTTGCGTAATTTTGGTCACGTTTGGTAAATGATACACACCGTGAGAAGTGAAAGCTAATTATGATTGAATTAACTCGGATTTTACAAAGGTAGACGAAATAAAATGATTTTCGATACAGCTTAACTGTTTCTTATTCAGATAGCAATTACGATTGTAAGATATTTAAATCATAAAGCCAAAGAAAGCGATTATTACGAGCACGCAAAATATTTAGCTGCAAGCGAGAATATAGAATACAGTTACGAAAATTCACAAGTAAATATCGTTTAAAGTAGTAGCAGGGCAGAGTCGAAAAGTTTGATGAATTTCCTCGATGACACTTCGAAACTGATTGCATAAAGTGGTGGAAAAAGTGGACGCTTACGAACACCGCGTTTTGATAACTTCTCTGGTACGCTGTTATAAATTATGTTTGCATTTCAAGTGTGGTTCTCGAGTGAGTGGAAAAAAATACGTGTATCTTTTTGTGCCTGTATGTTTTAGTTGGTAAACTAAACTAGAGCCAGACTGTTTTCAACAATGTACAATTTTAAAATGTTACTCTACCAGCACATTTGAAGTGTGTCTAATGTTAATACGTTTCCATTTTTCTATTCAACATTATCACGCTAAGCCTTGATGCATTCTAGAACAATTTTACTTTAGAAATATCTAATGAATCAGTAAATCGATTCAAGAATTTTAGTTTACTGTTATATTTTAAACTATTGAGTGAGAGTTTTAGTGAGTCGAGTTAAATGGGACATTGCTCTCCTGCAAATGTTTTGTTTGGTAATCTAAATATATCCAATGTTCCAGGTCGGCCCTTGGTAGTTTCACTGCGAGTGTATTGATTGGTTCGTTCTTTTTAGGCAAAACAATAAATTTTGTCAGTATCGAACGAGCGTCGTTAATTTAAGGGCGTAAAAACACCATCGTTAACTGCGACTGGGATGTACAATACCTTAGTCATGAGAAATAAACGAAAAGTCCTGTTACACACGTCCACATCCCGTTTTAATGAATGCACTGTCGCTGATTCATACGCATCGTAAAATCAGAGTGCAGTCAACCGGTTACTAAGTTCACAGCCAATAAAGGGCTATTGAAGTAGAACCCTACTAAAGAGGGGGACAATATTAACTCTATTTAGAGAAAGTCGAAGGATTAAAAAACAAAGGACGCCCATTTGATTAAATAGAGCGACTAAGAAACGCCGAACAATGTAAATCATTCAACGATATTGACTCATACTCTTACATTGGTGAGTAGAAAATCTGGTGCAGATGCTACGAATACGGTAATAAATTACTTAAGTCACGGCATCTCGCACGCGGAGAACGTTTTGTTGGTCTTCAGGATAGTTTATATTTAACTTGGTGAAAATAGCCAGCAAGTCGGGGAAGATTCCCGTAGGACAACCACTCGCTTATCAGTCAGTAACAGTTTTCTGATCTAAGTAGATGTGGTTCCAGAGAAAATTATAAATATGTTAGAATTTGATAAGATGTAACAAGAATAAATGGTGCGCCACGCTGTGCGAAAGTTAAGTGTCCCTTTACACCGACAAAGTGTGGCAATAAAAATATACGAGGGCCACGCCCGAACGTTGCAAGCATGTCGATCGGGTCCGTCCGAATTTGCTTGTTGTATTTTGTATTTTTAGGCGACATTTGGTAAGCAAACATAAAGAAGATTTATTGCATACCGGCGTGTGTGGCAGGTCTCTTTTACTTCGGCCGACGCTCCATCATGTGTATTGATTTCTTTTGTAGCCGGCATTCTCAAATCCTCCAAGTGTCTTCATAATGTCACTACTATAAAATTGTTATGTGATATAATTTTGGATCACACCTGTGCTTCTTCGAAAGGTTACAGAAATGTTCAGTACAAACCAATTTTTGTCGGTAGACATATCATTTGTCCCGTATTATGGGTCGAAATTATTGCTACATTGGGTATAGGTAGGTACTATTAAGCCCACGCTACTACTAAGAATTCGTAAAAAGATTTTGTCCGAACCTATTTATCCTGTCATATCTTTAGAAGTAGCTCTTATCAGACCAAAAAATAAGAAATTTGATATCATCAAATTAAAAATTCCACATTCCATTCGCTTATCTGGATAACAAACATTTTAATTAAATTATGATATAGACATGTCATTAATTAACGTTAATTAGACCTACATCAATATCATAAGAATTTTTTGATCAAATTCAGTACTGTCTCTATATTTTATCAAGCGGCTTCGGCCTGTATTGTTGTAAAGATCAGACGATATACCGATTACAGTCGTTTATAAAGATTATGAGTGATTGTAAAAATGCAATACAAAACATAACACTTGCCTGTTGCATGATATATGTAATTGGAGTATCATAATACAATACAGTAATAAAGATACCAGTGAAGTATAATAAAAAACAAGAATGTACTTTCGAAACGCACAGCAATGAAATATACATAAAATTAAATGTTATTTTCATTCAATCGTACGTTCTAATTCAACAATTTTGCTTTATACTCCACAGAATTAGCGCAAGTAAGGCTAAGGGCTCACGGCGCAATCTTCACCCGTGCCCGCCGCGGTGGCGGAAGGAAGACAGAATTTTCAAAACTCAAAATACCGCAGTATTCTGCGATCCCGCAGCAGCCGTGGTTGATTATAGCAAGACGGGCGATTAAACAATCAGATGAATTCCAGACCGGCCGTCCGTTTGCGATCGCCCGCCAATTGCAAAGCGCGCGGGTGCTAGCCGCCGCGGCTGCAGGACCACGGCCGCGCTCGCCAATGCAGCGGGAGGCGCAAAGAATCGCAACTGTCGCGGCCGTAAAACGTGCCGTTAAAATTGATTTGATTTTTACATATCTGTATTCTACGAAGGCCGCTGGCCCGCAACCGCGGCAGGCGCGGGAGAAAATCGCGTCGTGAGTCCTCAGGCTTAGATAGACTTGTTATTGTATCCTGTGTTATAAATGGCGCTCAAAATCCAATATCAGAAGGGTTCAGACAGTGTTAAATCTCCCGTCTGGCATTTGTATTTGTGGTACCACAATCTAAAATCACAGTTTAAATGAAGTATCTGCAACAATAATTATGTAAGATACTGTAATTGAAATACTTGATAGTAAGGAAGTGTTGTAAACCTGGTTGTCGGTGAAAGGATTAAAACCAATTAAGAACTTTTGATAAAAGTATAAGCATACTTACGTACAAAGTAATTACGATCGAAGACGAAGACGAAGTGAAGACGTTGTTGATGAATGCCAATGTAAAATATATTTGTAAACATGGGAGGATCAAATGAAAGGTTGCTGTTACAGTTATCTGGTTAACTTGAGGGTTCTCATAAGTAATGAATGGGAGCAAAAACATCTTTTACTTGGAAAATGAGCCTTCAACGTCTTATAAATACGTTAAGACGTTTCTCGTTTAATTTTACGAGCAACTGTGTCACTTTGAACAACAAAAATATAACATTTAAGCTCTCAACCTTAACATTTTCTTATTCGACTTTGATAACGGAAAAGGTTTTTCGACACCGCAACGATGTAATCAAAAGAAAGTGGTGTTTTTGCCACGTGAAATTTCTATTTGATATTACTTTTACAAAATAAAACGCCATGTGACGTCTGCCTTTCATTTCGCTAGAAATAGCTTTAATAAAAATGCGTGTTAGTGCAAAAACATATGAATCCCCATTTTAGACTTTAGACAAAACTAGGAAAGGTCTCGCCTTTCCAACGAATTGAAAACCGTGGAAATCGGTTCGTGCGTTCTGGAGTTATAGCATCAGGAAGGAAAACCTGACTTATTTTTATATAGTAGATAATATGGATCTACTGAATCCATCACAGTTACTATAAAAATACATCACAATAAATAAAACTAAAATTGCCAATATAAACAAAGCAAGACTCTTTTTAGCTTCAAACTTTGGCCATATAGTGAAAAAGCAAGAGTTTACTTCGTTTTGGCACGTGCTCGGAGATGGCCCCTCAAAGTGAATGCAGTGCTGCATTCTACGGAGCAGCTGATGTGGGTGGGGCACGGCATTTGTGTAACGGTCCTGGCATTCCGGGCCGAGGGTGAAGAATTGCTTTTAGCCCTCGCTTTTAGCTTTCTAACGCAAATTATGGAATGAATAATAATACCTTCCCATAATAGTTTACCTAATTTTATCTTTCTTTGAACCTTATTTAAATATAAATAAGTGTATCTCTTTGTAGGTATTTCATAAGATTTATTTAGTTTTTCATTTATTTTGGTTCAAACGAATACCGGGTTTTTGCCGAAACGACATCATGTTTCATTCACGGTTGTACCGAAAAGTAACAAAACGAAATATTAAATGCGAT